GAAGTCCTTTCTCTCTGCCTGTGGGGGAGTTTGCACAGATGGCTGCTTCTTAGAAAACGGGAACAGAATCAAATCTCTTAGCACATCATCACCCCTCCGCATCCAGTCCCGTGGTACCCAGAATCCACCTTCCATGTGGACTGTTAAAGGCCTATTTTTCGGAGGCTACTGCAATCATCCAAGCACAAGGGCTGGGTCGGGACAACTGCACTGGGATGGGAGATCCCTATGCTCAGCCACGTCCTCACCCCCACTGCCTTTCCACCTAGAATTTCACATTAGAGATTCATTCCTTTGGCGATGATGACATGGTTCCTAAAGACGTTTTAGCTAGTATGTCAGCAGGATAAGGAATTCCAAGATCAAAGGCAAAGGGGTGATCTGAATTCTTGGGTCTTCACTTCACTTCTCGTGGCGAGGGCAGGGTGGGGCAGCCAACAAAATCAGGGCACCTCCCTTTCCTGATTTTTCTGGCACAGGGACTCCCTGACTTCTCTTCCCCCTTTTCCCAGACTGTCTGTCTCTCCCCAGGCTCCTCGTGGCTCCCTCCCACCCCAGGCCCTCCCATCTATCCTCAGGCCCTTTGATGCTTCAAGTGAGGCCCCTGTACAGAGGTCTCCGGAAAGTGTCTCTTCTCTAGTGCAAGGCGGGTAAGGAATTGTTGTTCCGGGGCAGGCATTTGTAGAAATCCCATTCATGAAGGAAGTTTAGGAATTTGCATCTCCATTGTTGCCAATCTCATCACGGTTACCCGCTAAGACTCTGCTTTCTCTCTCAAATCGTTGACTACGCCCCAAATCTTTCTTTATCTGTACAAATAGCCATCACTAATTTTGACCCCTAATTTTCTTGACATCGCTGTAATGTAAGGGGCCTGGGGGAAACGCTGTGTTTGGGGATGTCCCAAGGGGCTGCAGTAACTCCAGAAGGGTGGAAAGGTAGCTTTCAGCTCCACTCACCCCATGAGGAACCCCAGTCACAGAAGGAACCTTCAAGATTCTCCTGAAAACGCAGAACGATTTGGAGAAGGCCATTAGCCTCAGAGTTATGGTGGTTTCGAACAGACGGAAAGATTTTAAAAGCCCAGAGCGGGTTAGGAGGTTTTATTGTGACTTTTCACATCATGCAGAGGGAAGGGATCTCTTTTTATCCAGCTGATTCACAAGTGTCATGTTGTTTAGGGGGGTAGGGATAGCACATAACACAATCCGGTGAGTATAAGTCTCCTTGTCCTGGCCGATCCCAGGGCCCCGGTCTATTAAATGAGTGCACCTGTGCACCCAGGGCGGGTCAGGACTCTGGGTGGTGTGGCTGCTATTGGCCAGGTTCTAAATGACAAGCACTGCTGAGAACCTCTCAACGCAATGCCTTGGATCCAACCCAGAACTGAGCCAGCCAGATTTTTGCATGACAGAGAGTTTTGCTTTTTGCCAAGGAGAGCGTGTGAGTGCCTGTGTGCACACGTCTAGGCATGTGTGTGAATACCATGCGTTTATTGGGGGCCATGTAAGCCTAATCTGATTCTTAATATCTCACCAGTAAAATATGCCCGCGCAACACCGTCTGAGAGCCGAGACCTGGAGACAAGCTCACTGGCTGCGGATGGCTAAATGGACAAAGAAGTTGTGGTGTAAGCACACAACGAAAGACCACTCAGCCAAAAAGAGGAATGAAATCACAGCATTCACAGCAACATGGATGGCCCTGGAGATGATCACACTAAGGAAGTAAGTCAGACAGAGAAAGACAAATATCACGTGGTGTCACTTCTATGTGGAATCTGAAAAAATGACCCAAATGAACTTACTTACAAAACAGAGGCAGACTCACAGGCATAGAGAACAAACTTATGGTCACCAAAGGGGAAGGAGGGGGAGGGATAAATTAGGAGTTTGGGATAAGCAGATACACACTACTGTATATAAAGTGGCTAAACAACAAGGTCCTACTTTACAGCACAGGGAACCATATTTAATACCTTGTAATAACCTATAATGGAAAGGAATCTAAATATATATATATCTGAATCACTTTGCTGTACACCAGAAACTAACACCACATTGTAAATCAACTATACTTCAATTTAAGAAAAAAGAGAGTGAATAAATAAAGAAGATATATATATGCATATGCACACACGCACACACACAGGAATATTACTCAGCCATAAAAAGGAAGAAAATGATGCCATTTGAATATAATGTGTATGTGCAGTCGAACTGTAATAATTCTACATAATAAAACTGGAAAAAAAAGTAAAAAAATAATAGTGCCATTTTGACAACGTGGGTGGACCTGGAGGGCACTGTGCCAAGTGAGATGAGTCAGACAGAGACGAATGACATGAGGAATCTCAATTAGCCAGATTTGCAGAAGCAGAGAGTGGAATGGGGGTTCCCGGGGGCTGGGAGGTGGGGGAAATTGGGGGTGTTGGTTAAAAGGTCTACACTTCCAGTTTAAAGATGAATAAATTAGGAGCTCAAAGCCGAAATCGACTCTGTCTCCCGCTGATGACAGCACCGAGTCTGGAGAGCCAACCACAGGAAAAAAGGCGGGTCTCATGGGCTGAGCGCATACCCTCTCCAGGAAGGAAGCTGCAGCAATATTTGTTCCTGTTCAATGGCCGTTTTTAGTTTTAGTTCGTTTTGCATGGGTGTCAATAAATATCAACGTTACTCAAAAAAACCCCCCAAAGGTGAAAAAGTTCCAGAGATTCAATGCACAGTGTGGTGAGTATGGTTAACAATACTGTAGGAATGCTGGAAATTTGCTAAGATGGTGGATGTTAAATGTCCTCACCACATAGACACACACACACACACAACAAGGTGACACTGGGAGGTGCCAGGTGCATTAACTAACTTGGCTGGCGATCATTTCACAATGCATGTGTGTGGAAACCTTGCACTGTACACCTTAAACATGTATCATTTTTAGTAACCTATTATATACCCATAAAGGTGAAAAAATACTGTTTCTCAAAGCAGATTGCTTAAGCTTTTTTTTTATTGAAGTATAATCAGCTACCATGTGTCCATCTCTGGTGCACAGCACACTGTCCCAGTCATGCACACACATACATATATTCATTTTCATGTTCTTTTTCATTAAAGGTTATTACAAGATATTGAACATAGTTCCCTGTGCTGTACAGAAGAAGCTTTTTTAAAATCTTATTTTATATGTTGTGGGTAACATTTGCAAATTTCAAACTGCCAGATTTATCCCTTCCCACCCACTTTCCCTGGTAACCATAGGATTGTTTACTATGTCTGTGAGTCTGTTCCTGTTTTGTAGATGAGTTCGTTAGTGTCTTCTTTTTTCATTTTTTTTTTTGGATTCCACATATGAGTAATACCACATGGTATTTTTCTTTCTCTTCCTGGCTTACTTCACTCAGTAAGACAATATCTTGGTCCATCCATGTTGCTGCAAATGGCATTATTTCATTCTTTTGTATGGCTGAGTAGTATTCCAGTGTATAAATACACCACATCTTCTTTATCCAGTCATCTGTTGATGGACATTTAGGTTGTTTGCGTGTCTTGGTTATTGTAAATAGTGCTGCTATGAAAATGGCATGCATGTATTTGTTTGAATTAAGATTCCATACATATATATATACACATGCCCAGGAGTGGGATTGCTGGATCATATGGTAAGTCTATTCCTAGTCTTCTGAGGAATCTCCATACTGTTCTCCACAGTGGCTGCACCAAACTGCATTCCTACCAGCAGTGTAGGAGGGCTCCCTTTTCTCCACAGCCTCTCCAGCATTTATTGGTTGGACTTTGCTGGGAGTTTCTGAATGGTCTCATGTGGGGACGTCCCCCCTCCTGCAACCCCACCCAAGTGCAATCCAGGAAAGCTGGTTGCATTCCTGCCTCTGGTGCTCAGATCCTTTTCCAAGATCAGCTCAGGATCCCTGAGGCCCCCTATGGGGAAAAACAGGGATGCGGATCCCCTGGGTTAGGACAGACCCCTGCCAGGGAGAGCAAACCTCCCCCTCCATCCCACTCCCCATGTTGTTTGGAAAAACATCGGTTAGTTAAGCTTTAAAACAGGTAACTAGATCCTACTGTGTAACCACATGGCCCCGAAACCTACACAGTTTCATTGTCAGCTGCCATAGTGGGTGCTCAGTGGCCCAGAGAGTGTGAACACACCATTGTGACATCAGAGCAGTGGCAAACCTTGTGTCAGGATGAAATGTGCCCTACAAAGATATGTCCACATCCTGACCTCCAGAACCTGGGAACAGGAATTTGTTTGGAAACAGGGTCTCTGCAGATGGGATGACGTGAAGGGTCTGACAGGAGGTCCTCCTGGAGGAGGTGGCCCTGCATCCAAGGACAGTGTCTGTAGAAGAGACAGAAGAGGAGAGACACACAGAGGAGACCCACATGGAGATGCAGGCAGAGATGGGAGGGAGGCGGACACCAGCCCAGGGATGGACGCCTGGAGCCCCCAGAAGCTGGAAGAGGCAGGGAGGACCCTCCCCTGGAGCCTCAGGAGGGAGCGCGGCCCTGGGACACCTTGACCTCAGACGTCTGGCCTCCAGGACTGGGGGAAGGTGGATGTCTGTGGTTTTAAGGTGTCCAGCTTGTGGTTATTTGCATCCCCAGGACCTGGTACTTAAAACTTGCCAGGCTTTGAGTGGTTTGGGGGTGGAGAGAAGTCAGGGACCTGGAAGGCCCAGGACAGGAGTCCGAGAGGGAACAGACAGGCCTGGCTGGTGAGGGTTTGCCCTCTCGAGCCTCCATGGGAGACTCGAGGTCCATTTTCAGTTTTACGATCAGCAATGCCTTTTCATGAACCCTCGCGGGGAACTCCCACTGACGGGGCCTTAGAAACTAGAACTGGGGTGGGGAGGGGGCACTTCCTCAGGAAAATCAGATGTGTGCTATTTATTTTACATCCGTTGTCAGTTTTGCTTTTAGTTTTTGTCTCCAGAGGACACTCTCCATCTGGCTGTGCTCTGCAGAATGCGACAGCGCAGGGGCTCGGGGCTCTCAGCACGTGCCAGGCGTGGCGGGGGTGCCCAGTGGGAAAATCAAAGGCCCTGGTGGAGCTGACAGTCCCAGGGGTGGAGGCAAGGCTATCTGACTCTTTAAAAAAATATATGTTTTTTAATTGCAGTGAAATCCACATAATGTGCAAATCATCCTTTTAGAGCAAACAGTTTGGGGACATTGAGCACGTTCACAATATTGTGCTACCAGCAGCTCTGTTGAGTTCTAGAACCTCCTTGTCACTGCAAAGGACACCCCGTCCCCATGAGCAGTCACTCCCCTCCCCCTGCAACCCCTGACAGCCACAGACCCACTTTCTGTGTCTGTGGATTTGCCTGTTCTGGGCGTTTCTGGTAAACGGAATCACACCCTGTCTGTCCTTCTGTGTCTGCTTCTCTCATGGAGCATCCTGTGTTCAGGGTCCATCCACGCAGTAGCCTGTGTCAGAGCTTCACTCCTTTTCCTGGCTGAGTAATATTCCCTTGTGTGGATG